AATCAGATATATCTACGCACATATATATATAAAAACGCCCCAAAAAAAAAATCTAGAAAGAAATTCGCAGAGACACAATTTTCGTGCCAATTGGCATTGTAATTATTGGATTTTTCCTCATATATATAAATTAGGCGTGTGTGTGTGCGTGTGTATGTGTAATGAAGTTCTTGTTGTTGCTGCTGCTTTTTACATAAAACGATAAGCTAAACTACACTAAACTACATACATACATAATTCGCTCTTTCTCTCTCACACACACACAGACACATATGTGTATATGTGAATGTGTCTGGCAATTTCTGTAGAAAATTTCAATAATTTATTTGGGGTTTTTATTTTCTGCACTGGGTTTTCGGATATTTTGCAATCAATGCAATTGCCTAGCATTATTTATCATATAGGTGCATAGGTATATTTAAGTATATCTGTATACATATATTGATGTGTATATATAGTTTTCAAATGTCACACACATTAAATTGGTCCACGAAGGCAGCAGAAGAGCACAGAAAAGAGAAACAACAAACACACAACTTATGAAGAATCTCTTCGATGAAACACGACGATTAACAAATATATCGATATAGAAGTAGCAGTAACAGCAACATAACTTTATTGAAGAATAAGAGCAAAGCAATATAATCGATCCTTTTTGAACGATTTTTAGTCGAAAGCTCGAGCCGAGAACTCGTATACACAGAACACACACACCCACACATACATGCATATGAATAACATGTGCCATTTGCCGTTATTTTGCGTTGAGCTATGGCTCTTTTGATCGATATATGGTAACGATAACGATAGCATATTCAAATCTCACATAAATAGCGAAACGTTAAAGATAACAGCCAACAACGGTAAACGTAACAGTGACTGCAACATTAACAGTCAGCGGACTGTTAACAAAAAGAATAAGAATAAGCAGCAACAGCAGCAGAAATATCAGCAGATCCTGTTAGTCAACGCTGTGCTGCTAGCATCGACAACAACAACACTTATAATAATAATAAGAATAATCAAAACAATACCAACAACAACAACAACTGCCAACTGGTTAAACGTCATCAACCTGACGCCGCCGAAGCAAAAGAAACTGTCGTTGACGCTGTTGACGTCGTCGCCGTCGCCGTCGTCGTCGTCTTCGTCGTGGTCATCATCGTCCTCGTCGCCGTCGCCGTCGTCGTTGTCGTTGCCTTTGCCATTGCCGTTACGATTGCCATTGGCATTGCAATTCCTTGCGGCACTCGTTCAGCTACTGCTCGTAACAACCAATCATAAAAGCGAGCTGCATCATATGCTGTGCGATTTAACCATCCAGCGACATACTGTGGCCATTACCTATGACCTCAGCGGTGAGTTGTTAGTTAGTTAGTTAGTTAGTTCAACACATACCCACACACAATCAGACACAGAGGCACTCAGAAGGATGCAATAATACACCACAGGACGCCAGCCACCACACCACATGCTTATGTGGTGTATTTGATTTTCGTTTCATGTTTGCAATTTGGCTACGAAGTAGTTTGCCAGCAGCTCATCAGCGCCTCTGTTAAGCTCCGCTGTTAAGTCAATGGGCGGAAATTCCCATGGAATAAATTTATTGTTATCGTATGCAATAAATTCTCTTATTTGCGAAAAATTTGAAGATTATGAAATGATCATTTTGTGCTAATTCTTTCGTGCGGATCTCTGTTTAGCTAACTTGTGAAAATTCCCGTTGCATAAGCGTTAACATTGTCTGTCAACTCGACTGGAGCTGATCTAGCAAAATGTAACTCTTCAGCTGTGTGAAAAATGTCTTTAAGAAAATCGATCAGAGACTGCATTTAGCAATTTGAATTCTCCAGGAAAATTTCTACTAAGAAATTTTCCATTTTTAAATATTTGTTCGTTTGATATATTTTACATTGTTTTCATGGAGTTTGCTGTCAGTTAGACGTTTGGTCGACAGCAAACTCTAGTGAAACACTTGACATAAGGCATTCAATTTTGAAATTATTCGATATATACTCTACGAAATTCTCAGTGTAAATCTAAAATTTGCAGTGACTGGCACTTACTCCTCTCCTCTGTCACTCCTGCCCGTTGATGAATAAGAAATGCAAATGCAAATGCAATTCAAATTGGACGTGATATCAAGATAACAATCCGCTGAAAAATAT